CTATTTTCTTATATGAACCAATTGAGTTACCATCTTAATGGTCACATATGACCAGAGGTTCGTTTTTGAGATAACTGCTGTTGAGCAGCAACTGTGATTAAATTTTGCCAGTTGACCTCTTTTGTATGTACAAACACTACTGATTAATTTATTTTTTTGTTTGTGTAAACTATTAACCATGCTCAAGGAGCTGGCTCTGAATGAAATGTCTTGTTAGAAAAATGTGAAATAACATATATGTAGTGGTTTGAACCTTGTTTTCCCCAGAGGCTAAGAGAAGTGGTAGACCCCAAGGGGTGGAAACCCCTGGAAGTTTTGAAATTCTGCCCAATGGACGCTCCTGCGGAAATGTAAACATACCACAACCAGACCGGAAAAGAAGAGTTGTAGTTTTGGTTGCAGGAGAGGTGGCCATGTTGTAGAGCCACGAGGAAGGGGCTCTGAGCCCCTTGGGGCCTCTGGCCCCCTCCCAGCCCCTGGCTGGGGGCTGCAGGGACCTGGAACAGCATAAAGCTGGGCTAGGTGCCTGTAGTATGCCGGGAGATGTTTTCTCCATGGGCACAGAGCAGCAGCCGACGCTGACCAGAGAAACAGTGGCAGAGAGCCAGAGATAAGAACCTGAACTGAAGAAGCAGCAGAAGCAACATGCAGCACTGCAGAGGAGACTCCTGGAAGGAGAGTCGAGGAAAGGAGAGCCAGCAGCTGAGAGCTACAGAGTTCTTGGGGGTAAGACTGATACCAGATCCCCAAAACTCCTTTGAGACCTCCTGGAAGGAGGAAGATGATGGACTCTTACTTGAAAGAGCCTTGAAGTGCGACATGCACTGTAGAAAGGAGCTAGAGAGCTCCGAGAGGAATGCAGGGGGAGTTGACCTTGGCTTCCCCCCCCTCGCACTGCTGCCACGGTGGCAGCCTGAGAGACAGGGCACAGAGGCCCTGCAAGAGATACCAGACCGTCACGAAGACCCCCCTGTGTCTTCGTGATATGACGTGGTGAAACGACCTTGTCTGGGGTTACGAAGTCCACGGAAGACCCCTCGGTTGTGAGGCGATGGGGCCGAGAGAGAGGCTTGATACCTCCCTCGTGGATGCTGGCAGAAAGCCAGCTATCAGCTGCTGCATGCATGAGAAGAAGAAACCTGCTGCCTTAGAAGATGCTGCTGTTAAGGACTGGAAGGGATCTGTCCTTCTTTCCCTCCTGGACTTTTATTTGGAGGGGAGAAGAGATCTGATCCATTGTAAATACATATGTCATGGTAGAGATAGTTTGTGATCATGTGTATAATGTGATGTTATATTTATTTGTACAGTCATTGTAATATATTTCCCTTTCCCCCACTTTGGAGTCTGGTGTGTTTTGTCTGGAAAAACCTCTCTCACATTAGGTTGAGATGTGGGAGGGGGGATGGAGCTAGGGAATTGGATGTTGGGGCTATCTCAAACCATGACAATATATTAAATGTGAATTTGTTTGTACTAAGGTCTTTTTGTCCATTATTTAATTACAGCTGTAGTAAAGTATGTTTTGTGACAAGTCAAGACTTTTAAAACCAATAATATGAGTGTCATCATGGTTATGTCAAATGACTCTTCCCTGAATTGTCTAACAAATGTCTTGCCAGTTTCTCCTCTTCCTCTAGGGCACATAAAGGGCTGTGTCTTTATTGCTTCTGTTTTTCTTTCAAGCTGTTTGCATTTTATGTTGCAACATGTTTGCCTGTGGGGAAGGTGTGCTCTTAGTTCCTAACTTAGGCAGAGCCAAAAAGTCTGCAAGTGTTTGCTTCTTCATCAGACACTTCACTGAATCCAAAGGTATTGCAAAAGACAGAAACAACTTGTACAAGTTATTACAAAACTGATGTCAAAACCAGGAATATTCAGTGCAACTTTCAGGGTATGATTCATCTGATGTAGACATCTATATCTAAACCGGTCACTTCAGGCTCCGTTTATAATCAATGTAGAGACAAAGCCTTTTTTCAAGATGTAGATGCCTCGATTGGTTGGGAGACAACATGCTCCCTAAAAACCCGTTTCTCTTAGCCCACTGTAATGGTTGTAATAACCAGGGTTGCTACCTCTGGCACATACAACAAAACTTCACCTAAGCAAAAAAAAACCAAAAAAAAAAAAAGAGAAATGTCCCAAATGCTGCAATAAGAACAAATTAAAAAAAAAAAAATTCAGAGATTGGGATGAATAAGCAAACAGGGTTGACAAACTGATGATCTCTTGAAAGAGGTCCTCAAAAAGTTATTACACTTTTAAAGAAATGCAACAGGGATCTAAGTAATTTAGTTTTACTCTTTTAATTGTCCTGCATTTTTTAAAATACTCATGGATTCAGAGAAAGAAAATTTAACAAAAATATATTCTTGTACATTGCAAGACAAGGTAAAATGCCAGCAACCTGGATCATCTTGCTGGTGGCTGTTGCTATCCCAACTTATCCTAGCAGTTTAATTTTTCCTACGCATCTTCCACATGGTCTTGACTTTTCTGAACTGCCTGACTATGTAGAAACCCCACTGCACCTTCATTTTCTCTCCAGTCTCTTCTGAAACAGCAGCTTATCTCATCATTGGTAATTTTTTCATTGCTGCAAGAATTTATCTTTTGGCTGTTTACAATGCTGTAAAGCACTTTCAAGTGGTGTTTCAATGAAGGCAGTTTAATAGCTTGTTTATTATATATTGTTTCCAGTTTGATTTCTAATGTACAGCCTTTATGATGTTGGTAGGTTTTGGTTTTAAAGGTGCAAATCAATAGAACTGTTATCTCTTCCCACAGGGCCTATGATAATATTAGATTATATCATATTGTGGTTGTAAGGAAAAAAGAGACTTACCTATGTGTTTGTGCCAGCATTTCCCCACACTGGTAAACTACCAATATTCCCTGTCAAGGAATTAGAACTTTAACAGAAAATTACCGATTCTTCAACTCTGGTCGAGTTAATGTATGCACAGAAATATCAACAACCCCAACTGTATTTCTTAGCTCTATTCACTAAACTATTGGATTCAATTTACATATATACTTCTTGACTAAGAAAAAAAAAAGGAACAAACATCATCATATAGATGCCAAGTTTCTGTGTTGCTACCACTGCTATTTCCACTGGAGATTATGTTCACCTCTCCTGATGGGTGGATATGGAACACTGGCAGTATGTCAAACACAGGCTAGATAGTGAGGAAATTCCTCAGCTAAACACTGGAATACATTACCTAAGGAGATATGTGGGTTTTAAAATAAAGTTTTGTCAAAAAACGTTTAGGCAAATAGTACATGAGGACTGTAGGTGTGAGAGAGTCCATCTCAGGACAGAGTGGTGATCTAGATGGGACCCTTGGCATCCTTTCCCAGTCTTTTGATAGTCACATGGTTCTTATATGATAAAACATAACCTATGGTCAAATACTACTGTATATTAAGGCTCCCAGTCCTTCCCTAAAGAAAAGATAGGGAAAAAAAATCTTACAGAATCACAGAACATTTAGGTTGGAAAAGACTTCTAAGATCATCAAGTCCAGTCTTTGACTGATGATCACTTTGTCAATTAGACCATGGCACTAAGTGCTACATCGAGTTGTTTCTTGAACACCTCCAAGGATGGTGACTCCCTGGGCAGTCCATTCCAATGCCTGACAACCCTTTCAGTGAAGAAATTCCTCCTGATGTCCAGCCTGAACCTCCCCTGGTGCAGTCTGAGACCATTTCCTCTTGTCCTATCACTAGTTGCCTGGGAGAAGAGACTGGACCCCCACCTGGCTACAACCTTCTTTCAGGTAGTTGTAGAGAGAGAGTAAGGTCATACATGAACCTCCTTTTCTCCAGGCTAATCTTAGATTAGAACAAGGGAGAGGTGAAACTTCCACTGGTTGAAAGGGATCGAGCCTGTCTGACCTTGATCCCTCAGGGCTGTGTGATTCATTAAAATTTGCTGAATGTTTGTGTTCATTATGATTCTGATACTGGAGGAGTAAAGCCCATGTGATTTTACTTCACCAGCAAGGAGATAGGTTCTCTGTGCATATTTTCATGACACATTTATTTTAGAATTTGAGAAGCTAAATTACCTTTCAGTAGTTCAATTTGTTACCATGTCAGTTGTGCTTGTATAGGTAATTTTAGGGTTATCTGTAAAATCAGGCAGCTGAAGTGATCTTGGTTTAAAACTCAAAAATGCAAAACTATTTTGGAAGGCTATTTTTAACCTAGATTGCTTTAGGGAACTACCTTATAGCCTGGCCCCACAATCATTTGTAGCAGCACAGTTGAGGACAGGCAGCAAGCTGTAATGCAGACAGGAGTGAGTGGTCAGCGCTTTGAGGTACAGAGATAAGGGGCAAAAACCTCTTAAGCAAATTTCACCACTGAAGAGATCATATCGCGAAGCTCGTCTCCAGCTTCCGTGCAGACTGGGACCTGCTGCCTCCCCAGTGACAGCACCGCTTGCCTTGTGGGCTCCACCCTGTCTAGGAATGTCTCCACGCTGGCCTCAGTCTACACATAAACCAGTCTCACTTTATTTTTTCTGAGTTGACAATAAACAAGTACCTTGTGATTCACTCACATGTCTGAATTCACTGCTGGGCAAATGATGGGAATACCAAGACTCTTTGAGTTCTGCTGGGTACCTAGGTGTAATGATAAGGCCTCATCTTTGACCTCCATGACATACTCCTCGGCATTAATCTACCACAGGATGCATTTTGTTAACCTTATTTTCATGTACCCTCTACCTCACCTGTCCACTCATGGCCACAGACCAAAAAAATGTATGAATACGTGTTCAGTGTTCCTTTAGGATGGATGTGCAAATAGAAAATGGAGCTGAACAGTGCCTAACAATAAAACAGCCCCACAACACAAAGCCTGCTGAGACTTTCCCCAGATGGATATGCAATTTGGACCAATGTAATTTGTGTTCAGGCAAAGGAAGAGGGATGAACTGGAGACAAAGTACTGCAGAACAGGTCATCAAATTAGTCAGGTGAAGTCAGTAATCAAAATCTTTATTTGAGTCAGCAGTTTAACATGAAGACAGTCTTAATTGCCAATTTAGCTGATTAAAAGCAATGCTAGGCTCAGAAAGAAATGTCTTTCTTGTCACATGGCTTATGGTATATTACAGTGATGAGAAGGAGGGTGTTTTTCAGGGATATTTTTAGACCTTGGACCATTTTCCCCTTAGAATGGAAAAAGCCAAATGTCACAGCCAATTTCCTGCACTTTAGGCCGTTAAATACTTTAGGACAAAGAGTTTTTGCTTAAAAAAATGTTAGTCTGGCTGGCATAGTGTTTAATGGCAAATTGTTTTCTTAAAATAGGAAACCAATGTACATGAAATTAAAGATTCCCAGAAGAAACATGTTCTCTGTGAAAAGTATACCTTTTTCAAAACTGAAGCGGGATTCCTTTCTTTCTTGCCAACTTCATATTGTCAAATCGAGTATCGGCTCACAAAAACGTATTTTTCAACCAGCTTATTTCCCTTTCTGCTGCTCAAATATTTTACTCTGTTTCCCTTGCTTGAGAGAGTTAAATAATTAGCATGGTGCTTTGGAGCATGCTGGCTTTCAATTACTGTGTCAAACCCAACTGTATGCCAAACAAGAAAATGTAAGTGAATTTCATCTCAGAATTATAAAGCAAATAAATACTGACTCAAGGAATGGAGTACAGCACACACTGTTAACATCCAGTTCACAGTGTGTCACATCAACTCCTTTTTCTTGGGTTATGTGTGGGAAAGATTGTGAGGTTAATTCCCAGAATACTATTTTGAAGAAGCATATACATTCTGAATGTCTGACATTCTGAAACAGAAGGCAACACTGCAAAACAGCAGGGAGGGGGCCCACCATGCCCACATCTAACCACACCAACTTCGTCAGAGTCCTCCTTGATGACAACGACTCAGGTGGGAACTACATTCTTTTGCAGCACCGCAGACATCAGGGACCCCACTGACTGAGAGCCGGCAGCAGCCGTGTGTGCTGAACCCCACCCTGCTGCCCAGGCCAATAAAATAATTTGTTGTACTTTCTTCCACCCCAGACTATCCATCCTGGCTGCATTTGCCTATGGCGTGGCTGTGGCAGTTCTCAGAGGTGTCTGGACTGTGGCCTGTTTGGTACCATCTTCAGCTGTTCAGCATCAGGTATGCTGGGCTGGGTGTCACCTCCTGTGCAGCACCGAGCACAGCTTCCCAAGGACACCTCCATCATCTCCTCTAGCACTGCTCAGGTGGGAACTGGGAAACTTGAGTGGTCACTGAATAAAGGTCTGTCACAGAATCAGGCTCAGTGAAGATATTACTCCTGAAAACCTTGGTTGTTCAGAAGCTTTCACTGGCTGCTATGATCCTGGGTGCACTAGAAGAAACCTACAAGCTTTCCTCCAAGAAATAGTTATAAGGGCTGTACTCAAAATCCGCATATCAGCTTTTTCCTAGCTGGGGGCATGTGGAAAATGATCAATGTGTGTTAATCCCTGTGAGCTGCAGTTTCTGTTCTGCAGTGTGAGCCACAGTGTCTCATTTCCCCCTCTCCCCACGCCAGCCTGGGGCACAGGAAGCTACTGCTGCCACTCCTACCGGCATCCCTCACCCTGCCCCTCATGAGTGGGACCCTTTCTTTTTAACATAAACATGTCATTGTGCTGGATGCCAAAGCTCCTTCTGATAAAACGGGCTTCAGATGCCTGTGAGAAATGTGAGGCAGGGCTACAGCATAAACATAGCAAACCAGTGACCTCATCTGCTCAAGGAGCTCTCTGGGTTCAACTGTGACTCTTCGATGACATTCATCCTTTGCTGTCTCAATTCAGGAGAATGGCAATAAACTATGTGACAAATTATTTTCTCCCAAATAATTATTTTTTATTTGCTAACTTTGAAACACTGCTATGTCTCATCCAGGTATCTGAGTTCACTGCAGTGCTCCTTATGAATATTATTTCCAAAGTGATCTTCTGCATAGGTTGGATTTTTGTTTTTCAGAACTGTTTTAATAACATTGCTTTCAAACTGACCTGCATTAGTTTGCACAGAGATCATGGCCTGCATTACACACGATATTTGCCGCAGTTAAGTGTAGCTTTAAATGTTTTCACCTATGCTAGGAATAAAATGGGATCGTTGAAGTAACTATACTTTTTAATGTAAGGATTTCAAACTAACTAGTATGATATCCCTCTGGCAGGAAGGCACTCAGACATGCCAGTTCATCCTGTCTTTCTATGAGCACAGACCATGAAAGCATACCCCATGAACCTATCAATGTGATTAGTTGCAAGAGCGTTAATACCTTATCTTGTTTCTGCTGTTTCTCAGAAATGTTTGTATCCACCAGGACATCTCTCTATAAATAGCTTCATTTCCAGTGATAACGCAGGAATTCTGAGACTTACATTTTGCAGCTGTACATAGTAAATGTTGCTTGGTGTGCTAATTGTCCAGAATTCCCAAATGGTCCTGGTGACATTCGAAGAGGATACTGACATTCACCAAAGTTGGTGACACCTTCACTGCTTCCAGGGTCCTTCCAGCTGCCATGCTCAGTCCAGACCTCAGAAGCCGCTGTCAGGTGCTGCTCTTCCTTTTGGAAAGCTGGTCGTCAATCCATTTGAAGAAAGAATTGGCACCACCCGTACTCTACGCCAGGAGGAGTTTGGGCCACAAATTTCACAAGCTTTGACACAAACATTTAAACAGCAGTCACATAAAGATTGCTATTAAAAGCTTGCTTCTGAAAAAAAAGCATTTCTTACTTTTCAGAGGCCCAGTAATGCTTCAGAAAATCTGTTCCATTACTGAAACTTCACATGTGTTGCAGCAAATATAAAGTACTCTAGAGTAGATATAACCAAAACTAACCTGAGAGTGAAAAGATAATTCAGGCTTTTAGACCGAAAAGTAAGTCTTACAGGAGTCTGACTGTGGAAGTCAAAGGGAATTTATGAAAGTACTCAGCATCTTACAGGATTGCTCTTTAACTTTAGTCTGAAAAGGCTAAGCTTTGATGTGCAATGTAACTAACTGCCTGTTGACATGCTGTCAAAACTTCTTAGTTTGCACTACAGAAAAACTAGGCAGTTGGAAGAAAACTATCAGAAGTCCACAGAACCTGAATTACCTTTATTTTTGCAAATCATGCTGTTTCTGAAAAATCTGACAAGGAACTCCAATTCTTTTTAAATGATCCTTCTTGTAATGTCCACTACAATGTCTTAAGAAACATAAGGTTTTTTCTTGTATAAACAACCAGTGCACACTGGAGATCAAGAGTGAGACAGAAGAACACACAAGCAGATGAGCAATGAAGGACAAACCACAGGAGGTATAGTAGAAAAGCAGCACTGAACAGAGGAACCATAAAAAAAAATTCATGAGGGGTAAAGAAGAAGAAACTTGAATGAGTCACTGAGGACAAAACTGTGAGAGAGGCAGGAAAATGCAAATGAAGAAGAGAAAAGCAGAAAGGGAAATTGAGAAGAAGGTGATTCAATAAAGACAGGGAAGATTAGAGGTTAAAATCTGTTTGGAGTTGCAGAAAATAGTTTTTGCCTGTGCAGAATTCAGCCTAAAATGATCTTCTACTTATAAAATGAGAATGGATATTTTTATTTTTGGGATTCAGATTCAGAGGGAAGACTTTTAAAAAGAGTAAGTTACACAGAGAGAGAATTTAGCTGGCCTATGATTTCATGGTTGACAGAGTGCCTAGCACCCAAATCTGGAGAGCTTGGGGCAGGTACATCTGACAGTGAAGAATGCAAACAACTGCAGAGTTATATAACACACATAAAATACATTTTGTAGTATACATAAGACTTGGCAGTTCCTGTCTTCATACCAATATATATCTGCCTAAGCCTTTCTCAGGAATTAACATTGGGAGTTATAGGGATTTGTAAGTTAATGGCAAACATTTTATTTTAGGTTACCAGCACCATCACCCTGAGAAAGTGTATCCATGTATTCCCAACTAATAGCTTTCTCTGGCCATTCACTGCAGTCTGATGAATTACGCTGCAATAGGAAAATTTAACCCCAAAGCCAGTTTAATCTTTTGTTTACATAAAATCTTAAAAATCTTGTTCAGTTACTGGAAAGCCAGCAGAGGAAGTCCATATGAACACAGCCTTTTACAAATGCTCTCTCTGATTAATTCAGTGCTGGTGAGTAAACAAAAAAAGCAAAAATTCCCAATGAAAAAGAGCACTGTTTCTGCTTCATTTTGTCTTTTAAAGAAGGAACAGTGTAGAACAGAGTGAATAGACCGGATAGGAGGAGCTTCTGCTTTCAAGCTTTCACAAACTTTTTCATATCAATCCACTTTGGCAGATTGGTGTTTGTGACCAAAGTCTGGACTAGGAACCGCAAAAATGCTGTTACCCAGCTGCTGTGGTAAGTGATTTAATCTCTGTGCAATGCTAGACACACAACTGTTGGGAGATCCATTCATGTCTGTGTAGCACTCAGAGGATTGTTCGCATTGCTCAGACAACACCTGGATGGCTGAGCCAAGGATTGGTGATTTAATATCATTAAAAGTGAGTAGTAAGCAAGCAGCTACAGAGACCAGCTTGGTGTTAGGGCAGTCTGCCTTTTTGCCAAATCATCACCGGGAAAAAAATTGTCATCTGACATCATGAAATGAAACCAATTAACATTAGTTGGGAAATTGGGTCTTGTCCTAAAATAGATAAACATAAAGATTAAATATGCTTAAAAACTCTACTAACCTTACTTCAGCCTGCTTGGAGTAACCACCTGACAAAGGGATTATGGAAAAACCCCCCAACCTGTAACTTATGATGTCTGTGCTAGTTATTTGAATCCTCTTTTCCAATCACTTGTGAAATAATATTGTGAAATAATATTCTTATATGGCATGAATTTTTTTCCTGTTTTTTTTTTTTAGTATAGGTCTTTCTGATGGGCTAAATTGTACTTCTTCAGACTGAAAGGCTGGAAGGTTGCTATTGAGAGAAATAACTGGGGACTTTGGCAGAAGGAAATTGTAAAATCTAAAAAGGAGATGATCTTGACTGAGAAACATTCTATTCTCATGAAAGGCATGAAAGAAAATTTCCTTTGTAAGAAGGACTTTAGCAAAATTGTTAAAAAAAAGAAGATTCCTCTCAAAATAATTTGGTCAAGTGTTTTAGACCACAGATGCAATTGCAGGACTGTTGACTTGCAATGGACATCCACGACATGTTTCCTCAAGGGAAATCATCATAAAACAGTTTGTGTTGGAAGGGACCTTTAAAGGTTGTCTAATCAACCCCCATGCAGTGAGCAGGGACATCTTCAACTAGATCAGGTCCAACCTGCCCTTGAATGCTCCCAGGGATGTGGCATCTGCCACCTGGCTGGGCAACCTGTTCCGGTGTTTCATCATCCTCATTGTAAAAATCTTCTTCCTTATCTGTAATCTAAATTGATCCTCTTTTAGTTTAAAGCCATTACCCCTTGTCCTATTGCAACAGGCCCTGATAAATCTACCTCTTTTAACAATTTCCATGTTGATCAAGTCAGTTTAAAATTTTCCAATTAAATATATCAATTGAAATCTTAGGACAATAATTTGAGGATTTTTTATAGATGCAACCCACTAGAGTAAAATGAGCAATAATTTGTCATTGCTAAGAGGTCCTGAAATTAATCCTTGGGCTGAACTGCTGGAGGCCTGGGCTGGGATGAGGAATGAGTTGGTGTCAATTTCAGGCAAAAGTCTGGATGGTCACATGGTGGACTCAGTGATCTTACAGGTCTTTTTCAACCTTAGCATTTGTATGATTTTATGTTAACATGCTCATGTGAAACTTAGAACCCTAGAAACCATTCACAGCTTTTTTTCCCCAGCACGGTGTGGTGGTTTGGGCTAGGCCTTCCTTGGTGACCAGTCTGTAACCAAGGAAGGGCCCAGATTTACCCAGTATTCCCTACAATTTTTACGTAAGCCAGGTTACAAGAAGAAAGGAGGAAAGGCCTTTGCTCTCTTTCCTTCCAGCGGCTTGGAGGTGCAGGTTCCCTGCTGTTGAGTCTGCCGTGTTGGGGAGCGAGGCCTGGTAAGGCCTTGCCGACCTTGGGAGACGGAGGTTGCCGGCGATCGTTCCGGAGCGACTCTCAGTTGTCCCAGGAGAGTAGTGAGATATTTCTTTGCTAACTCTTTTAGTTGTTAGACATTGGGCTACTAATCGGGATATATATATATATATATATATATATATATATATATATATATATCTTATATTTCTTGTTTTTTTTTTTCCCTCTTCTCCCTGAGGTTTGGGGTGGGGGGGACTTCTTGTGGTAAGGTTTGGAGACTTGGCAGGGAGCCAACTTCAAACCATATCACATGGTGAATGAGAATAAAATGCAGTATTTTTTTTTCAATCAGATTTTAAAAGAAAACCTACCTTCAAACCCCATGCACAGAGCAATATACCACAGGGGACACCCTATTTCTCTGATCGTTCTGCTTCTGTATGATTTTGATCATACAGAAAAGAGCTTGGCTGCACAGCTGGGGGCCACAGAACCTGACTTGTTGCTCAAGATAAGAAATGTGCTCCTATGATAGAAAATGGTGATTGACAGCCTTGTAGGCATTTTGTAATGGCTCTCATTGCACATTCCGAGAGACCGAATCCACTTGAGGAGAGTCAAATGTGCTCTGTCTGCAGCTGCTGGGTTTTAGGGTATTCCAGGGGTGTGGATGGATCATGTTTCTAGAGCCTAATGAGGCTGTAGCTATTGTAGTTACTTACCTGTTCAGGAAAGTCTTGGCCTCTTGATGCAGAACTTCAAGAATCATTAAACCTTAGCAGGATACAACATAGACTTCAGATCTCCCCAGAACTCAAGCCTTTCCTTCTGTAAATTCATACTGATCCCAAGCACTGGGTTTCTCAGTGAATGCTTAGTTTTCTGCGTGGCCAATATTGCACCCAACAGAGATGTGACAACAGCTGATCACCTTCAGGTTAACAATTTCTTGTCCATAATTTTGATATTGCCTAATTGGAACTGCTTTCCAGATATTAGGGTGGGGTTTGTATACAGCATTATGCTTCCTATAGCAGGGAAGTTGTGGTATACTAAATTACTACTTTCAGCTCATCTGTGCATGTTTTATGGTTCAGACTCTGGAAACCCCACATTATTTCAAAGAAATTGTCTAAAAGCTTTTGTCATTTGTGATATAATCCTCCTGTCTCCACAGGAATTACTGTCCACCAAGACTGCCCTATGCTAGCTGCTGCCATGCAGATAGCAACCATATGGTTGGCCCACTTTACTCTGTGGGGTATCTCCAACAAAAAGTTCCAAAAATATCTCATTTTGTCTAGTGGGAGGAATCTTAACCGCCTTTCCTATCAACACTTTTTTAATGCCAGAAATCTCAAGTTCAATTTGTAATTAAAAACCAAGGCATTTCTTTTTCTCCTGAATTCAAATGCTCCTCCAGCACGGAGGTTCCTTCTCAGGAAGCTGGGGATGCTGTTTCTGTTGATTTCACTTTTGCTGTTATGCCATTCTGAAATGGGGCTTAATAATCCTTGGCAAATATTGCTTTAGGGTATATCCTACCAATAAAAGTAAAATAGTCTAAATTTGGGCTTTTGTAAGCAACAACAATAAAAAAGTTCTTTTTGTTAACTCAGAACAAACTTGTCCTCCTTGTAGCTCTGCGTCATCTGTTGGTTCATGGGGCTCTAAGAAATAGTTGCTCTGGGATTTTTTGTGTGAAATACCTTGCATTTTTAAAAAAACGTTTGCAAAAATACCTGAGACCAACCTCTCACATATTGCTGATGTATGTCTTGCATGGCAAAATTGTATGTATGTAAGGGCTGTCGTGGACCTTGCAGCGATTCATACAGAAAATCTTTATCTTTAGTTTGGCTAGCCAGTTTCAAATTGCATCTTTGAAACAGAAGTTTCATAATATCTCTAGAAATAGAATCATAAAATGAAGGGTATCTGTGGCTGGCAGAAGATGGAATGGTACCTCATGTTTTGTCATTTTGGCCTCTTATCTATTTCTTTCATTAAAGTTCTTTACATTACATTCTACGTATATCTACAGTGTGGGTAAGCAAATTCTGTCACGTGTAACACAGGTGTTGCACCTGTTTAATTGGGAAGAGAAACCAGCTTTGGGTGTCCTCTAGTGAATTCCAATCTGATAACTGTGGGCATGTACCAACACTAAAATACGGAATGCTTTTACATCATTAAAGTTAATGGACATGGATATTTTACATTTTAGACTCAGCATCCCATTAAAATGTCTTTCAAAATACTATATTATTCTCGATTGACGAAACTATAAGCTATAGCGATGTGACGAAATCTTTAGTTCTACAGCTGATATTTGCTTTCAGCTGTTGCCTTCTCCGTCAAGTTGTTCCTTCATTAAATTTATAAAGGTTTTAAAAAGTGAAAGAAAGGTAGGTGTTTGTTTTCTTGATGGTATTTGGTTCATGTGCAGATTCTCTATCTCCTAATGCCCCCCACTTTGGGAAGCAAAACTTGATGCATAGATTTGTTGTGGCCATGTCAAATATTTGCAGGTTTTTAGGTTAATTGTGATTTCCATGGTTTAACTAATGTACATGTCCACGGCCACAACTTTGTGTTTATATTCACCTTTTAGACTGTATGAGGATTAGAAAAAAAATAAAGATCTTTGTCTGTCTGGAAAGGGGGATGTCCTAGATTGGTTTTGTGCATTGCCACTAAGACTCTGTGGTTTCTTTGGGGCTGCCCCAATGGCATGGGCAAGGGGGCTGCAAAAGAGGGTACAAGGAACCTTAGGTAGTATAGTTGTGAGCCCATTGTACCTGCCCTATTTCTTTTTGCAGCTAAGTCACGAACTTGGTGTTCACCTAAAGGAAAGAGGTAGGTTTAATATGCAATTTTTTTGCCTTTAACTGAACTTGGAAGTGGCAGGAGAGGTATGCACCTGCCAACAATTCACTAAGAAAAGCAGGTGGGAGTTCAGCAGGTGGGTACCAGGATTTGTGAGAAATTACACTGACATATCCAGAACAAGGTAAACTTCATTGTCAATGTGAAGGTCAGTGTAAAGTTACATATGTCACATATGACTAGCACCATTGTTTTGTATTGCAGAAAGTTTGGTAAGTGTGAACTTGCTTAATATTTTTGAGTAAGCTAAATCAGAAGGGTCACTCTATGCACCAGATGATACACCCAGTGTTTTCAGAGAGCCAGTAGGTATCACAAAGTGGTTAGGGCTGTTAGATCTTTAAAAGGGATTCCTCCTCATGGACAGCCATGGAAAGTGTCATGATCTCATAATCATCTCTCACTCACATTACCTGAATACAGGGCACTTGGAGTTTGGCTTTATAACCACAGCTTTGCCTGCACTGACCAGCCGTGCTGGTAGACATGGAGGGTTGCAGTTCTCCACAGGGCAGAGCACACTTCAGTGCTCCTGTGTGGCCTATCAGCACCTCATTCATGAACTGTGTTGCTGTGACTCCAACTGATGGCTAGTGGTCTCAGCTGTGCACTTCTGCATCTCAAAGTTTTGCATCTACTGGTTATCTCACTTCCCAGGGATAATGTGGTCCCTACATACTCTGTCAGGAAGCAGTCACGGTGACAAAGCTTTCCCAAAAGCCATTGTGTGGGCCTTCCTCCTCAGATGAAAGGACTCCCAGGAGGGTCAGTTCATTCGGGATGTCCCTCTAGGGCTTGCTGGGAGCTGATGGTGGCAATAAACTCACAGTCCTTTCCGTATGGCACTTCTGTTTTGAGCAACAACTAGACTTGGTCACAAACAGGTATGAACAAGCCAAAGTAGAACAGGGCACGAGAATCAGCAGGACCAGAATTCCAGGTGGCAAGGCCATACGCCAACCGCGCTGGCAGGAGCAGGGATCCAGCCACATCACTGAGGAGAGACAGGGGCTGCAGGGGCATCTGGGGACCTGCAGCGGGAAAGCAAATCTTTAAATAGCTTCAAACCATATGTAACGTTAGTAATCGGGATGTTCAGTCCAGGAAAAACAGATACGTCTGGGAGAACAGCCTACGGAAAGGGTGCACTGTGAAAGTCGGGGGCTCTGGGGGTCCGCAGCACCCTCCGCTTCAACCGAGCCTCCAACCGAGCGCTGTGGCTCGCTGAGGCGGGCTTGGCGCTCCATCGCCGCCGAGCGCTCCGGCGGAGGCACAGGGCTTCTTGGCGCCTCCCTCCCCCCAGAATAAACGGGACACTGGAAGCTGCGGGGCCGCGGCGGGAGAGCCGATCCCGCCAGAGTCCCACACGCCCGATGGGCGCGGCCGGCAGGGGGCGCCCGGGGAAGGCCGGGCCCGTCCCGCGCCCCGCCCGCCGCGTTCCCGGCGGATCGTCCTCCCGGGGCAGAGGGACGGGCGCTGGGCCGCCCCTGCCCGTATCCGCCGCAGGCGTTTGAAGGACGCACCAGGGAGGACAAAGCAATGCCTCCATGGGGATGTTTCCCCCTGCTTAGGGCCGACAGACCAGTACGGCCCGTATGGGATGGAAAAAAGCTCTTTCCTCGGGGCCGGCTGGGGACTGACAGGCGGAGGTTGGCCGAGGTGGGCTTACGGATCTGTTGCCCCCGGGCAGAGCTGCCTCCTGCAGAGGGTCAGAGCTTCAGCTGTTCTCCTCGGGAGGCTGCCGCTCCCACTGCCCGCAGACACTCGGGGAGACCAGAGCACTTGTCTGGACAGAGGACTCTTTAAGGGATTTATTGTCCCACCACCACCCATGAGGAGACATGGATGTGCAGCATGTGAGCGTGTGTCACTGGGGGTGTCCAGGAGAGACTTTCCGAAATCATAGAATGGTTTGGGTTGGAAGGGACCTTGAAGATCATCTAGTTCCAAGCCCCATGCCATGGGCAGGGACATCTTTCACTACACTAGGTTGCTCAGAGCTCCATCTAAACTTGCCTTGAACACTTCCAGCAATGGGGAATCCTCAGTTTCTCTGGACAACCTGTTCAGTGCCTCACCACCCTCACAGTAAAGAATTTCTTCCTAATATTTAATCTAAACCTTCTGTCTTTCATTTTGAAACCATTGCCCGTTGTCCTGTCACTACATGCCCTTGTAAATAGACTCCATCTTTCTCGTAGGCTCCCTTCAGGTACTGGAAGACCCCAAAGCCTTCTCTTCTACAGACTTAACACTCCCAATTCTCGCAGCCTTTCTTCATAGGAGAGGTGTTGCATCCCTCTAATCAAGTTGGTGACCCTCCTCTGAACTCGTTCCAACAGGCTGTTGTCCTTCCTGTGCTGCATATCTCAGAAGATGAGTGACCAAGGTGCTGGAAAACTGGTTTTACCCCCTACATCCCTTCAGCCCTTTTTCTCAAAGTTCCAATACTTTAAATAATACCCTACTTTTTTTTTTTTTCATTCTTTGTGTTGTTTCATTGCATTTTTGCAGCTCATTGTGCAAGGCATATTAGTTGTATTCATTTGATAAAATTTTTTACCCCAAAATAATACATAGTTTAACAAACTTCAGCTGTATTTTTTTTTCTTTGAATACAATGACATTGTTTACTATGGATATTCACAAAGTGTTTCTTTGTGAAGTTAGAATTTGCAGGAAGCAGTATAAAGATGCCCCTGTTTCCTTAATATTTTTTTTCTGACATATCAATACATTTTGTCCTATTCCGCTGACTGTTAAATTCTAGCATTTCTAGAAAATCGATTTCAGAAATTCATCTGACTCCATTTTTATAGGACTGAGGCCATGTAGCTGTTGAACCATGCAGTACTGGCAGGCTACATGAGCTGGGGCCTTCTGAGGTGCTTGCTCTGCTCCCACACTGCTACTCTGTGTGGTAAAAAGATGTTTGTGTCACTTGAAAAAGCTATGTTCTCATACTGCAAGAGATGGTACTGCTGTGTGTGTATCACAGGGCAGAATTAAACTTACATATAACCTTTCCAAGGTTTTACTTTATTACACTGAGAATGAAGCTTAGTGGCATGGGTCTAACACAGGAACAGCACTGCACCCTAATGCTGTTTTAGTTCTTCTGAAAACTGCATTTGAATATGGCAACATGATAGACCACTTTGTCTACTGTCTACCACTCTGCAGCCTGGGCTGGGACAGCCACTTGCATGATAATTTATTGATGTAGCTACAATGGATATGCTTATTTTACAGCAATTCTCTTTTTTTTAAAGACTAAATTATAATATTTGGCAAAAACAATTATGATTATTGTGAAGGACTTCTTTCTTTTTCAGTTTTTATGTCAGAAAGACACTCTTTGTCTTCTGAAGACCTCAGTTCCCTACTGCCAGAGAGGTTTTTCTCCTTTCTTTCTTTAATTTTCCTAGTGCTTGACATTGTTTAGTAATCTCCCTTCCATGGCACTGTCACATCTCTGACAGTTCAGGAGAGCAACATTACAAAAACAGTGTCCTGAGAAACCCTCTGTGTATCACATGCCAGACTTTTATGAATGTTTCGGGTTGTTCACATTTTAATCTGGCTGATGAAGTTAATCTGGAGGAAGGCCTGGACAGAGATGTTTGGAATCAGTTTCAAGGCAAACCGTCAAATAACATCTCTTATGCCACTAAAAAGAAACCAATTTGAGGAGCCTTCTGGTAAAGACTTCCTTTCTCTGGAGAATTTATAGTAAGAAAAAAAATAAACCGATCTTTTTATTTAAAAATAACTCTCATAGACACAACTAAAAGCAGCCTTGACCAGGTAGAAAACACCTGATTTTTAATATCCTCTCTAATTTTAAATCTATCATTAAGGTATGTGGCTAGCAGAGTATGAAATCCACTTTAAACTGTATGATAAACATTCAGAAGGATTTATATAATTAGATATTACAGAACTAAGATAACATGATGGAGCAGAAATCTTACAGCTCTCACAGACAGCTGATAAGTTGCCCTTTGCTCTACCATTTAAACACATGCCACCTGAGCTGGTGTCATTCCACATCGATTTAAGGAAGCTGGGAATGGAGGTTAGCTGTACAGTACACTGTACTCAAACACTTCGGGCTGGGATTTTTCAGAGAATTCATGGGTGATTGACCCTCAACAGCTTTTGACCAAAAGCTTTCCTTTTTCTTGGACTGCAAGTCAGTATTGGACACTTAAATATGTAAGTCCCCTTCCACTCCAGCTTTCAGGTTTTTATCCAAATGAAGAAACCAAAATTCAACTGGAGTGGAAAAGAGAAACTCCTCAGCAGGTAACATTGATAGGTAATACTTAAGACAGAAGGTGAAAACTAGCTATGCAAGACTTTTTCTGCCCCCCAAACAAATGGCACTACGCCTAATTTAACTGCCATGACTGCTCTCATTTGGAACAGCATTACCCATAAATCAACTTTCTAATAAAGATCTACAAAGCCGGAAAAAATTGCAGCCCTGTGCAGCAAGAGGGAGTGTTTGCATACACATAGGTACATGTTGTGCCCTGACTTGTAGCATAAACATTTTTTCTGGCTGAAAATTTTCGTGCTTGGTCTGGGTTCCAAAATAGATGGAGGTGGAAAGAAGAAACTTAAAGTAACATAAATTCTGGGAAAAGATTTTAGATCTATACATAGGCAGCTTTCAGTAAATATAATTATATGAAAGATGACAAAACATGTAATATGAAAGACAGAGTTAAAACAACAAACAGAACTATGAAAGAGGTAGAATTTATATTCTTTGCTCATAGTTTTCAAATGGGTTGGTTACCAAAATGCATATGCTCTGTGAATAGGCAAGTAAAGTTCCTATTGAACAATTTGTAGGACTGTGACTGGTACTGGAAACACATTAGAAATATTTTATTTTCTTGCACTCTCACAATAAATATTAGTAATTAAATTGGTTTACTTTTAAGTGGCATGTAGATGCCAATTAATGATAATAAAGTATCTGTTTGGCTATTTAGCTTTTATAAAGATTTTAGAATGTTTCCTTGTAATTCAAGCTTTGGAATCCAATCCAATTTCCAATACTTTGGAAAGATAGCTAGTTCCTCTTTTGGTTACTATGCTGGCTTTTAAGCTGCAGTACCAGGAGCAGCCAAACTGGAGGCTGTGGTTTGTGAATCATACTTCTATCTCTGCCTCCAGCATCGCTTGAATAGGAATATGGAAAATCTGTTTCCCTCCAAACTGGAGGTGCCTGTTGAATATAATGTGGTGTGCTGCCTCGATTTTCATGTCAATGAAATATTCTTCCCTCTAGAAATGCGTTCATGTTCTGTGCATGTTTTGTGGAAAGATAAGGAATACTTTTCACCTTCTCCTCATGGAAGGTATTTATGGAAATGTTTCTCAAAACCAGTTGGAGGTGAACACGTGAGGCAGGAGGAATTTCATTATGTCTTTTCAGGCCTCTGCTTCGGGTCTCTCAGAGCTGGAATCTCTATTCTTTTGTAAACAATGGAAGTATCTCCTTTCCTCCTCCTTTCTGCCTGCCCTCCATCCCAGTCAGGCAGGAAATCAGGTTTGCTCCTCCTCTAAGGACCCTGTGTGGCCTTCACATGGGATCTCTCTCCAATAATCAGCCAAGTCTTCTGTTGAGATAAATCCCGTGGTTGCAGCACCTGAGCTATTGATCAGTGGGGCACACTCAGTGCCAGCAGCTAGTTGCAGGAAGTACTTTGGGCTGTGATCCTGTGTGGATAAATAATATTTGAGTTAGCTGAGAACAAATAAAACTGATGGTTGGAAGTCACAAAAAGAAAACTTGTTTTTGCTAACTGGCTAACATTTGCAGGGATTTGGCAGTGTGATTGCCAGCTGCTACAGCTTGTGATTGAGGTCACCTTCTCTTTGTATATAAACATTAGTCATTTACTAAAGAATGTAAAAAACAGGTGTTCAGTGTTCACTGGTAATCTGTTCTTTGAAAGGGATGCTGTAAGATAGCACCTGACATAGAACAATTCCTTGTATGCCTGTTGCTATTAACATAGACACACTTGTACTGTTACTTAAGCAGTGCCATTGGTATGCATGGTACATAAAAGATAAACAAAATGACAGATGCTTAAGCCAGATGAAATTACAATTAAACTAATGACAGACAAAAATAAAGGAAGTGTGGCAGGAAAATGTGAAAGAACATAGAAATCACTGCAAGTGGTTTTTTTCAGTTTTAAAGAGGCAGTTCTGCATTTTATGGCC